TTAAAACATGCAAAATCTAGATAAACATACTATTTCAGAGAGAACGAAGGTAAAATCACATAAAAACAAGCAGCTCAATGACTCTGCAAATTAAGCAGCATTATATCGTTCCATTTACAGAAAGATTTCAACTTAGACGAGTTGGTATAAGAAGAAATCTCACCTAATGCTGAAAGAAATGCATTTTCTTGGAAGCAATTACAAGCACAAGAAGGACAAGAGGAAGAGGCTATGACTGTTGGACTCCTTAAGCACAAGTAGAAAACCAATGCCAAAAGCGATCCCAAAGCACCATGGATGTGAAACCCATTTTCAATTACATGAGCCATCTCTAATCAAAACCCTTTTCACTGCTGTTTCAGAAAATCAAACAAACCCACTTCAAGATCTGGGTCGGACTCAGAATATGACCGCAACTCAATCACTCAAAAACACTATAAAGTAGGTTTCAGATACCCAATTTTCTAAAAGAAATTCTTCTCCTTTAACCAAAAATGGAAGACTAAGAGAATCTTTGCTTTGGTTTTTCTAGAAAATGTCATGGGGGGAAGGATCAGAATCAAACTAAAAGAAGAAAAATGAACCGGATAGGAGAAAGATGTTGTATAAATCAAGGAACCTCCTTTAATCATTTTGTTTGCTACTTTTTTTATTGGCTTTTTACTGTTAAGATAATAATAAAAGAGCTATTGATAATTTCTTCCAAAAACAAATGAGAAAATAAAAAAAGGGATAATAGCCGAATGAGTAAAAACAGGATCTATGCAATTTGAAAGTTCAAAGACTAGCAAAATTTGACAGGTAACACAAATGTAACGTATTCCCAGGCTAATGAAAGGAAGTTTTTTACGCTGTTTTATTTCATATTTAGTCATTTAAAGCTAAAAATATATTTCTTTCTTTACATAAAAAAATACATATATATTATTTCTAATAGTAACAGATACTCTGGGGAGGACTATCTTGTTGAAGATACAGAACCCTTACAAAGAATTTAGCACGAGAGCTGCACACATACAATACCACGCAAATAATTTTTGTTTCATCTCCCTTTCTAAACCTCATCTCAGTACAAGTCAATGGTATGTTTCCATTTCACAAATCTTTGCCACTTTGACATCTATAACTACAACCTAGAGGTTTGGGCTTTAATGAGACTGAACACCATCTAATTTCCTATAGACAACAGACTGCTGATATTACAAATTGGATTAAAAGAATTTCTAAGGCTAACTGTGCACATACTGTTAGGAATCTATCAGTATCTGTTCATTGTCAATAGTTTCATCTTCATCGAGTGATGTTTCCAATGGCAGTATCTGTTGTTCATCATCAAGAGTTTCGTCTTCATTATCAGATGTTTCCAATAAGTTGTCAAAAAACTCGTCAAGATACCAGGGACAGCGTTCATTCCAGTCACTCCTGGAGGCTCGGAATCGCCATTTCTGGTCTTCAATCATTTCTGGAGACAATCCCCATTCTTGCAATTCTTCGTCTGTATGGTGGATCGCCAAGCTATACTCTCCACCATGTCCCAACTCCATAACTCGAAACTCACAGTTCCCAAGATTGTTTAAATGCTCAAATTGCTCCACTGTCCACTTGAACCACTTCATTAGAAACACCCGTGATGTTAGCCCGTGAGATATGATTATGAGATTCAGGTCTCCAGCAGGATCATTGTGAAGCCTGTTATAGTCTATGTCTCTCCACAGAGATTCAAGAAAGCCTGCAAAATCCAGTTTTATTCTTCAATAAGTCCCTCTTTACTACAAAAATACCAAAGTTCAAAACTATTTGATTTGCAATTAAACAAAAGCAAGTCCTGATCTCAAAAATTGATTCAAGATAAATAACTATGCATTTCTCCTCAGCAAAACAATTTTTTTTTTCTTTTAACACGAGGGTATATGAACTTTTTGCTCCACTAATCCCATGGATATTTGCAAACCACCGCATCATAAATACCAGGAAAATCTCCATCCAAATGGCATTGGTTTACCACAGCCAACCCCAGTGGATTTCTCAACAAATCATTCTGATGGTAATTTCCTTTGCTAAAAATCAATAAATGTACCATCAAAATCATTGAATACCACTTTGAAATCAACAGACTAAAGATAAACAGAACAGAATTCTTTGGGAGTGTTTCTAGTTATTTTGATTGTATTTTACTTAGTTCTTGCTTTCAGAGATCAACAAACCCACTTCAAAAACACCAATGTCAGAATCTAAACAACATTTTTCTAACTAGTTCTTCTGAATTCTAATCCATTTATATTGCATCAAAAAAATCTAATCTGACCCAGAAATTAAAAGAACAAAAAGCTTCCAGATTGCCCAAGAAACAGAGTCAAACTAACAAGAAAAGCGAAAACGAGAACGTACCGGAAACACGATCAAAGACATCGGCGGCGGACTCTCCTTCAGGAAAGCGATAAAAGAACCCGCCAAACCTCTCACGCGCCTCCCTGATAGCTTGCATCCTCTCCTTCACTTGGAAGTTCCCAAAGTCCTGTTCCCGCACCCTAGACTCCTCCCTAACCCCAATGATCCTCCGCTTGGAGAACGAGCGCCCCATCTCCCGGAGTGTGGATCGGGTGCGCTCGTAGGGGGAGACGTAGAAGTAGGCTCGCCAGTTGGGGGAGGAGTAGCGAGAGATGAGATCGTGGAGGCGGGCGCCAGCAGAGCGGGCTTGCGACTTCCCCAATGGGGTAAGTGGGATCTTGTTATCAGGGGTGGTGGAGTACGCCGACGTGTCAAGGTTGCCCTCCGACTCCCCATGGCGGACTAAGATTATGCGTTTGGGTAGCAACCTCCCATGGTGTGGTGAATTGTGATGCTGATTGCGCTTCAGTCCTAACTCCTCCATTACTTCTGAAATTGGGTGTCTTTTTTCCTTTTTTTGGAAAGATATTTTTGGAATTTTTTCTTAGGGTTTCTTTGTATTGGTGTGGATTGATATCCTAATGAACATGAACATGGATTTGATTGCCCCATTTATATTGATGTAGTTGTTTTTAAGTTTTTTCGGCAGCAAGAAAGCTCAAAAGCTTTCCCATTGGGTTTGCTTGCTTGAGTTGAGTTGTCTTTCCATTACATGCTTTTAAAATAATTGACTATACTGTTTTAATGAAAAATTGTTGTGTTGTTGAAATTGTACGAGATTATACAATAAAAATTATTTAATAAAAAGTAAATTTTTTGATATTAGAATTTTTTTTATTTAAAAATTTTTATTTTATAGTTTATTATCATTTCGATTGTAAAATAATAAATTTTTATTTTAAATGCCTTTTTAACAAGAATTTGTGTTATTTATCTAAAAGTAGTAATTAATTATTTGATTATAGTAGAACAAATTAAATATTATAGATTAAAAAAATAAAAATTATTAGCAATTAGCCAAATACAGTTAATACAAGTATCCCTTAATGTGCTTATTCAAAGATCCTTTATTCTAGGTGTAGAATGGTTATATTTTTCTTTGGTTGAATTGGAATAATTGCTTGAGATGTTCATACGATACCTAATAGGATCAGAGCTGTAATTCTAATCCATTGACTTGGTTTATTTTGCGGTCTGTCGGAAGCTGTGACCCACCGAAGTTTGTAGCCAAACCCAAGGAAAGGAAGAAAGAATAAGCAAGCTCGTCAACAAAGAAAATTTCCCCTTCGAGGTTTGACTTTGTAATTGGGTGTTTTCAACATTTTCATCCTCCTTCCTCACACCAATTCACATGCTTTTGCGAAAACTGTTTGGTGGCTAATTGAACCCTTCTCTCTTGCAAATGATCCCACACTCTTCTTTGCATTATCCTCTCCTCATTGCTTCAGCTCTTTTCTTTTCCATGAAGACAGAAAAATAAAAAACATTTCTCTCTACCTACGCACCAATATTACATGGTGTAATAGCGGTGAAAGCTCTTTCCAAATATCTATACCTTCGGGGGATTTTTTTTTTCTCCTTTTTTGAATTCAACGTTTTTGTTTCGATTGCCTGAATAGAATCTAATTACCATTCATCTATTGGTTTTAATGAAAGAAATCTATTTTTTTTTTTAAATCTTAAATTTAAATTTTATAAATAAAACAATATATATTAAAAAAGTTTCTTCCTTTAAAAAATTTAACATAATTGGATTATATATTAATTAAAATTTAATATAACTTATATTTATAGATATAATGGGTTTCTTAAAAAAAATCTAATTTTTTTTTCATCGGTTATCGATGGATATGGAGCATCTATATCTTCAAATGTAAACTAGGTAATTTTGCTTTACCAAAAGAAAAAAAGAAGTAATTTTGAGAACACTAATACTGTCACCTTGACATTGATTGATTGATGCGGGTTATTGAGTCAAGTAGCTGGCACAGATGCACATGAGACATGCCTATAAAGAAGCTAATGAGGTCTGACTGACTTGCCAAGTTTGCAGCAACAACGGCGGAACACTTTCCCCTTTTTGATTTTGTTCCTCATTTGTCATTTCTGTATGGCAAAGCACACACCCGTGATAGGGCTAGAATTTTAGTGTCTTCGACAATGGCTTGGGAAACTTAAGTTATTCTAATGCAATTTTCCCTTTTTGATAACAAAAATTAATTAATTTTAATGTAGTGTCTGCAAGTGCTTGATACTAAAATGAGATACCAAGGTTTATCTTTTGCTATACCAAGAGATTAATGATTTCCAAGAAAAAGACAACTAGTTGTAGATGGACAATCTTTGAGGTTCTTTTGCCTAGTTAACATCAAAATAAGCACGAACTGATAAAAAAAAAATTCAAAATAAGCACGAAGCTTCTGAGGAATGAGTAGTAGAAAAGTGAACTCCTTAGAAAGGGGACATTGATCTATCAAACTCTATGAAGAATTGCTATATAGTGAGTGGAGAAAGACATTGATGCAGCTATAAATTGACCACTAATATGAATTGCATAAGTTATGTGTGGCTGTATTGTATTTAGATAAAGTAACTTGCTAACTAATTTTAGAGAGTAGGATTTCTGGCTGCGATTGATTTTATGCATTGTGGTTGTGTTGCTTTTGGTTTTGCATTTTGTTTTTTTTTTTGTGGTTTTGTTTAATGCAGAGCTTGAAAATTTTTCCTGCCCATATGGGCCATATCATCTCTTGCTTCAAAGGATTTAGGAGCATTTTTGCCAAAGAAGATGAGCAGTGCAAGGAGGAAGGCCACATTCCAATTATTATTATTTTTGTTAATTAACCCTTTAATTAAAAATAGTTTAATTCATAGACTAATTAGTTTAAAATTGATAAGATGAAGGACCAAATTTGTTATTTAAACCAAAAGAAAATCTTTACAAACGAAAATGTAGCTTTTATTTGGAAGAAGAGTCTCTAACGACCAAGCTAGTACATATAGGGAATAATAATTGGATAAGGGTGCTGAGGGGAGACAAGAGTGTCTCTCTCATGACCAACTTGCTTGTGTTAAGATCTGAAACATAATAATTTAAATTATATTTACACTTATTGTAAGTATTTTATACTTAGAATATTCTCTTTAGATACTTTATACTTTAAAATATTATCTTTATAAGCATTTATATATAAGTCATTTTACATATAATATTATTGAAGAAAACAATAAACTTTTCTTCAAATGTTTCTCTTTCTTGTCAATTTCTAACATGGTATCATAGCGATAAGCTCCTGGTTCTTCTTTTATCATTGCTTGGTTATTAAGTTGGATTTTCAAATCTATTTTGGATCTGAAACTTTGTCATTAGGATTTCTTTTCCTACAGATTGGATTGTTTATTCTTAATTCTTATGCTTTTTCTAAGGTATTTTATTGAGTTGTAATTTAAATCTTGGCATCTATTTTTTCATATTTTTAGAGAATTTTTTAGTATTGTGAGTTCTACTAATTCTATGACAAGTTTTGAAAGAACTGTGACTCATTCTATTGTTGCAATGGTTGTCAAAGAGGCGATAGACTAACCTATTATCAACCGTGAATCTCTAAAATAGGTGATATTAAATCTTTTAAAATGCTCCTATTACCTTATCTACTGCTCCAAGTACTAAACCTTGGTATTTTAATTCTGGTTGTTGTAGTCACATGTATTCAACTACTGCTTATTTCCCTTCAATGTCACCAAATAATTCCTTTCTTAATATTTATTTTGCTGATGGCTCCCTTATGAATGTTAGTCACATTAGCAATATTTCTACAAATTCATTGATTTTACCAAACGCTTTCTTGGTTCCAAAACTCAGTTATAATCTTTTATCTATTGGTCAGTTATATGATCTTGGTCTTGAAATAACATTTTCTACTCGTGGTTGTCGTGTGTAGGACCTGCAGAGAAGATAACTTCTTGGAACTTATCGCAAGGTGGGGGCGTCTATTTAAGCTCAATTATCTGCATATACCTCATTATAAAATGGATACAGCATCATTTCAAAATGACCAATTCATCCAAACTCTACTTTGTACTGTTGAATTGGAGTCTTTGCAAATTTCATATCAACAAATCTTCCAAGCTTGTGTTGCTACTAATATTTCTCCTCTTCATTTATGGCACTTCACGACTTAGACACACCTCAGTCGATAAACTCCGTCCTCTTATCTCTTGTGGTTTATTAGGATCTATTCCGAATGAATCCTTGCATTGTGTGTCATGTTAATCTTCAAAACAACTAGCTTTATCGCAATATGAATTACAAGCTCTTGACAAAACTTGTACATGGGATTTAGTTGATCTTTTTGTTGGAAGGCCTCTAGTAGGTTGTAAATGGGTGTACAAGATCAAAAGTCGGTCTAATGGTTTCGTGGAGCATTACAAGGCTTGTTTGGTTGCTAAAGGATTTACTCAGGAACATGGGATTAATTATGAGGAAACCTTTGCACCTATTGCTCGTTCGACTTCAATTTGTAGTTTGATTGCTATTGCTACTGCAAAAAGATGAAAATTGTTTCAGATGAATGAGAAAAATGCCTTTCTAAATGGGGATCTTGCGGAGGAAATTTACATGAAACCACCTCCTAGACTTGAGCATCCTCCAAACAAAGTTTGCCAATTGAAGCAAGCTTTGTATGGTTTGAAACAAGCACCTCAAGCCTGGTTTGCCAAGTTTTGTACCACCATCAGTGAATTTGGTTTTACTTCTAGTCCTCATGATACTACACTATTCATATGTAAGACTAATTGCAGTATGGTTCTACTACTTCTTTATGTTGATGATATGATCATTATTGGGGATAATATTTTAGGTATTTAGGACCTTAAGCAATTTCCCAATCATAAGTTTGAGATGAAAGATCTAGGTGTTTTGAGTTATTTCTTTGGATTTGAGGTCACCTTTTCTCGTGATGGTTATCTTCTCTCCCAAACAAAATATGCTTCTAATCTTATAACTAAAGCTGGACTAACTAACAATAAGCTTATTCTAAGAGTCACCACCATTCCAATTTTGCCTTGGCACATTAGACTCTTGTTGGACATGAGTATCATGTCGGGTATTGAAGTTTTGAGAGTTTCTTGGTTTCTTTCGATAGCTAGACTCTAAGTGTCCATCCATACCACAAAAATCACAGTGATAAAAGGGCCTTCCAAATCTATTCTTGTTTGATTGATTTAGGTTGGTTCCTTGAAAGGATCCCTGCACATTGGTTCCAACCATGGCTAACTACTCTAGATGTGGAGATGGAGAGATAGTATGAATCGACCTTTGTCTTCAATCTTGCAAAGCCAATGACAATGCTTTTGTGACGGTTGGTAAAGGATTCATTAACAAAATCTAGCTTCTTAGGTTGATGTATGATTCATTGAGTCCCATGAGAAACTGCATTAGTCGATATACTTCTTCCGATGAATGAATCTTTGAGGTGGCGCCACAAGTGCATGATGGATATGGATTATGTGTTGCTAACTCATCTCATAATCCTTTTAATGTTGTGAAATAGCTTGTGACTGAATTGTTTTGCTGAGAGTGGTTTACAATCAACCTCTGGATTTCAAATATGCGTGCAGCATTATGTTGTGAAAACTGATCCCTCGAATCTATCTAGACGGCACGAGTTGTTTTCATGAAAACCACACTATTTTCTATGTCCTTTGAGACAGCATTCAAGATCCAAGAGAGGACCATGCTATTGCATCGACTCCAAATGAAGAAGGTGATTGAGCTGTTGGTTCTTTGATTGCACCATCAACAAATCCAAGTTTGTTCTTTGCTTCAAGGGCCATGGTAATAGCTCGACTCCATGTGGCACAATTTTCACCAATCAAAGGCTGTGAAACAAGCATAGTGCCTGGACTATTAGAATGATGAAGATAAAAGAGAGAAGACAGATCTATTTTCGTGTTGGTTGAAGGCATGGTTGAAGCCGTGGTGGATTTTGTTGCTTTGGGTGTATCTTTTGTTGCTTTGGATGTATCTTTTGTTGACATAGTGAAAAAAAAAAAAAAAAAAAACTTTAAGGTTTTGAAAGAAAAAGAAAAGGTAGGAAGAAAACCTGCTCTGACACCATGTCAAAAGTAATGGAATCTCATGTATTGATCTTGTGCATAATTACATACATATATACAGTAAGGAAAAATTAATTCTAGTTAAAGTTAACCCTCAAGAAAAGGAAGCAATAAAAGTGCAATAAAAGTGTAGTAAAAGTGGAAAGTACAAATTTACTACTAAGATACAGACATGCAAAGATGAAGATGATATGCTGAGATTGTTGATATGCTGAGATTACTCTATGTTGACATTTCTCCATAATTGTAGGAACATATCTCGCTAATACGGACCCCTGTAGCCATAAGGACCACACAACTGCTAAGAAGAATAGAAGAAGTTGATTGTCTGTTTGGTATCCCGAGTTCTGCCTTATGTAGCATTTATTTTTTTTGGCCATACTACTTTTTGCAACTTAAAACAGAAAACTTAGTACAATTCAGCAATTGTTCCAGGCCAAACAATTAAAATCATAACCCCACCATGTGTAGCATCTCATCCATAGTTTGTGGGCT